ACCAGTTGTTTCGAAACCAGCACTCCTCAATCCAAAGATGTCTCTTTGTTGACTTGTTTGTGTGAGGGATGGGGCTAATGGTGTACTAGCTGTGCTAGTACTTGTTAGCAACAATCCGAACTAGCGCACACACTGCACTGCTTGCTTTGTACTGCATTCAAGACTGACGTCATGCGCTTTGTTTTGCTGCGTAATCACAAATGGCACCAGCCCATTTTTGCGGAAAAGAAAAACAAATCTTGCTTGCCCTGTTGTGCTCTTCCAGACAACGGATCGTGCTTCAGCAGTGTTTCTTTTCCCACCATCCCTCCCTATCCAACTTATTCACACCATCATAATATTATCGTACCCACTAACCGGGTCCACTCTCACAACTGGTGTTATCTAGCTATTTGCTGCGGCTCTGCCTTGCGCTATATTACATCCATTTAGCATTGCAGCTCTACGTTGAGCTAACAGCAGCTCTACTTTGAGCTAACAGCAGCTCTACTTTGAGCTAACAGCAGCTCTACTTGGAGCTAACAGCAGCTCTACTTTGAGCTAACAGCAGCTCTACTTTGAGCTAACAGCAGCTCTACTTTGAGCTAACAGCAGCTCTACTTTGAGCTAACCGCAGCTCTACTTTGAGCTAACAGCAGCTCTACTTTGAGCTAACAGCAGCTCTACCTTGAGCTAACAGCAGCTCTACTTTGAGCTAATCGCAGCTCTACTTTGAGCTAACAGCAGCTCTACTTTGAGCTAACCGCAGCTCTACTTTGAGCTAACAGCAGCTCTACTTTGAGCTAACAGCAGCTCTGCTCTGAGCTAACACCAGCTCTACTTTGAGCTTCAAACCAGTTGTTTCGAAACCAGCACTCCTCAATCCAAAGATGTCTCTTTGTTGACTTGTTTGTGTGAGGGATGGGGCTAACATTGTTTTGATGGTGTCAATACAGCAGCCACACTGGGAACTGGACAGACAGTGAGCTGGGTGATGTGCTTGGCTGGCTGGAGTGGATACTGGAAAGCTGGGTCTCTGGCCACTGATCTAAATCAGCAAGCTGACCTACTCAGTCTCTACAGGCGGAGTAATGGTTGATGCCGGGAACACGAAGGATATGATGTGTAGGCAGGATTAACTGGTCACTGTCTGTATCGTTGGTGATCTTCAGTCTTTTTTCCCATGCAGACAACATGGACAACTAACCTGCTCAACATTGAAGTTGGCACGTGTGTCCAGAGTGAAACATAATTCAGGGTGCTTGAATGCATGTTCTATGGCATATTATTGTTTCCTTCATGGATCAGTGCCATGTTGCGTGTGTTAGGCAGCGTGTTTGCGGATCGCTAGCATTTACCCATTCTTTGCATGACACAGACATCTAAATCCCAGCGCGTTCCATCAACACTGTTGAAATACTTATTCTGACTCTGACAAAGCTGGCCCGGCAGTGTGTACTGCTTGATTGGGTTGCTTCTATTCTCATTGCTCTCACTGCATATCTATCATAAGTTATGTACATGTAGTTGATTCCTGAACTCACAGTATGGGTCACCAGGGTGGGTCACGGTCCCTGGTGTGCGCTCTCATGTTTGACTCTGACCTTTATACTGCAAGTTCTTTTTATGCTGTGTGAACATTCCACTGTGGGCAAACACAGTTTAATGTCTGTGATGATACAGCACTGCTGACCTCCACTGACATAGTCCTGTTCCTCAATCATATTATTCTAAATTAACATCTTATCTGCAGTAGCACCGTGTGGACTGTATCGGTGTTAAATCGGTTGATAGGTGAATAGTTCACACATTCTTTAGATAAGTAGAGCTAATATGGACTTTACTTGGGGAATTTACCACTCCGGTCTTCTACTCATTTTAGATTTCATTTCCATTTAAAATTTTAAAATTTTCACTAGTATTTTTGCAAATGTTTACGAATTGAAGCTTGAGCCTTCAACTGCAGCCTCGGAATGATCATAATTATTGTAATGTTCTGCCATAAAAGAATTTATGAGTTTTGATCCAATGCTCACACTAGCAATGACACAACCAAGTCCTTTTCTGTCGTTACTCAGAGTTTCGTGTTTTAAAGAATCTCTCATCATGTGACAGTATGGTGTGAGATATAATACTCAACTCTGAGTACCGACAGAAAAGGACTTGGTTGTGTGATTGCTGAGTGAGTATTGACTATTGTATTACTGCCTCTGTTCACTGGACATAGAGCACAATACCGTGACAGCCTGAGGATCTTACTCTTGGAATACTGTCTAGGACTATACACAGAGGCAGTAGGCTTAGCCTTAATAGGTTCTGTGAAAGTGCTCAATACCTGATCCAGGCAGAGCGGTGTACACAAAGGCACACAACTGTCTGATGATTGGTTCAGCCATGAAACTCTGAGTCACAACGGAGTTTGCCCAAGGTTTTCATTGTGTGCCTTTGTAATAATATACCGGTAATTGTGTCTATGACTGGAAAACCTTACACACACACACACACACACACACACACACACACACACACACACACACACACACACACACACACACACACACACACACACACAGGTTTTGCTGCAGTGGAGCTTGCGTAATGTGTCTATGACTATAATAATGAGTTTCGATCTGTGGCCGGAATTTTAAAAAAAGCTACCAAATTAGCGAATATAGCGACCAGAAAAGTGGAGTAACGGGATTCTTCCTTGACTGACAGTCTGTAACAAGGTGTTTGTGCCTGGTCAAACCTTCCGACTCCCTACCAGCTCGAAGTAACGACTACTATGTGAGTGTGTTACTCTACACACACCGGTACATGTGCCTAGTGTATGAGTAGTACAGTACCTCGTGTTCACCAAACTGATGCACAGTGTCAATCTTCTCCCATCTCCTGTAGAATGCACACACTACTACGTTTGTAGTATGTGTTGTACTATCAATTATTATCATGCCATTGTACTTTTAGTTACTTTGTTGCAGCAATGTTTTTGTGACCTTGTAAAAAGAAGTTCCATGCTTTGCGGACATAATATAGCAACTAACTTTAGCGTCACGAGTTCGTTACTTTCTCCGAAGCAGTGGTAGGGTTTGAAGCGTCTCCTCTACAATATCCATTGTACTAGGTTTGGTACCGTAGTGAGGTATCTGTGTGACTTTCAGCACTTTTCAATGACAATGGCGGGACCAAAGAGACCCGGCGACAACTAATTTTACTTCCTCAGCCTCTGCAGTGTCGCCTCCCATGATCCCAGCCTAGTACTAGTAGTAGTAGGAAAATGCTGGCTAGTTCAGTTGCACATGCTTGGTTCGCTGATGTTTGCCGGCACTGGGTCTCACTCTGGGAACACTGAGCCGCCGCTCGTACAGTCGTAGTCGTGGTTGAACTGAGAAGCACAATGTAGCTTGTGCTTGCTTACATGTACTGCTCGTTTTGCCGACCTGTCCGTAACAAAATTAATACCGGTAGTGGCAGAGAAGGAAATTCCACAAAGGTTGGTGAGCCGCTACGTGTAGGTAAGAAGTTGAACAGCGGTTAGTTGACCGAGTACTCGTAACCTTATAGTGTGTACCTGAGCTGCGAGCTGTGAGGCGAGGAGAGACTGAGTGGACTTTGTCCGACTCTTGAAGCTGCACATCATCAGCACAATGTTCGAGGTACCTATTAAAATGACATTGGATTTCTTCGTTTTCATCTGCTCAGTTTCCGGGTGCATTCACTCTCGGCAAAAGATGTAGGTACCAACACCAGCAATAGCAACAGCATGCTTGCAGCTGGGTCGCTGACAGTCCCAGTAGTAGTCACTACAAGGACATTCACATGATTCCAGCAGACGATGCCAGAATATTTCTGCAGCGCATATCCAGGATATCACCGTGCCTCTAGCGCAAGCCTTGTTGGCTAAGTCAGTATGCACGGCTGGGTTGCACAGCACTACATGCAGTGGGTTGAAGGACTGGAGTCCAGCCATCCACACAACATGTTAACACTCCATGCCAAGCTCAAGGTGAGCACTGCTTGTAGTCACTTTGTTTTCTTGTGTTTTGATGCAAACACTTGGATGTGATTTACCTTGCCATGAATGTTTCGACTGATACAAGTCATGTGTGTTGTGTGCGGTCATATTATGTCCAGTGCTGCTCAATGAAATCCAGTCGTGAGAGCCAAGTAGGCGCCGTGCACCTTTTCGCAGCCCAGTGTTCGCAGGTCTAGGGCTGTGCAATAGGCATTGGCGGATAGTGCTCGAAAAGGTGGCAGATTCTGCTCGAAAAGCAGTGAAATTGGCCGGGCCATACAACCCTTATGGCGGGAAATCCCTCGAATTCTGCTCCATTACTTTATCCACACACCAAACATGCATGAAACTTTCCAGAAAAGTACCGAATTCTGCCAATTTTTCTGCCGCCATTATCCCCATATGCCTACTGTGCAAAGCCCGGCGCGTACTTGAGAAACTTGACTGGATGTCATTAAGCAGTCCTGTAGTTAGAGCATTGAAAGCATAATTATACAATCACGTGTAGTTTCCATGTTTTGTATGCTAGTAGTGAGACTAACATTATGACTGTTATGATGGGAGTGTGTGTGTGTGTGTACATGTATGTGGGGGGGGGGGGGGTGATTATTGTGAGGATGTGATTCTGGCCTGCAAACACGTGGAAGACAGAATATGGGCTCCCGTATGTCACGTGATTGTCGCCTTGGATTCAACCAATGACAGATCAAAATACTCGGGCTGGAAAGCGTGGTCACATACACAGGACCATGTACACAGAAACCTGTCCAAGACGACCGCTCAAGGGACCTTCAAAATGTGGTCTCTGTTGCCAGGTGGTCTCCTTGTCCAGTATCATTTGACTGGCAATAGCATCCATTGTGTCCTGGTTGCAGTGGTCTACTAGGACAGGTGGTCGCCTTATCTCCGAGTGGTCGCCTTGACAGGTTTTACAGTGCATCACTGATAGTGTCCAGAATGACAACAAAGACTGAGTACTAGTACTACTAGTGCACTGCTGACTATCTACTGACATGTGCCAAACTGAACTGATGTGCATGCCCCAGAGGCCGGAGCAGAATCGGTCTGGCCTACATGTAGTCCCCGTGGTCTGTAGTGTTGTAGTGTGCGCGGCTCCTATCAAGTCAGGCCACTGTCTGTATACAGACGCATACAGACTAGTGCGCACTCTAGTCTAGGCTAAGCTGACGGTAAAACATTTGTGGATGAATTAAAAATCATTTTTGCCCAGTAAATCGAATAGGCTTGGTGTAGTGCCGTACTGGTATGTACAGTGACTTTGTCTTTGAGTTTCCAGTGTTCTCTGTTGGTGTATCTACTGAAGTCAGATTGAAGTCAGGTTGTGGCGTGTGTGTGTGCAGTTGTATTGATTAGCCATGTCCAGACCAGAGTGTGGATCATGCAGAAGTAGTAGTAAGCATGGCAAGCTGTTGAAGTGTCTCCACTCATTGTGTGTGGAGTGTTTGGAAAAATACATTAGTGGCAAGGGCTCTGTGGGATGTCCTGAATGTGGAACAACCACTCCACCACCACCACTGGCTGGTGTGCCCTTGCTGCAGTACCTGCCAGACAGTGATGTGTCTAGTGATGAGGTTGGAGAGGAGGTAGCTGTTGCAAGTGCTGGCCGTAAGAAGTTGTGTGATGAATGTGCTGAGGATATAGCAGCAGTAGCTGTTTGCATGGACTGTGGTGACAATTTCTGTACTGACCATGCCAAAGGACATCCAACCTCCCGCAGATCATACAAACACAAGGTTGTGCCACTCAGTGAGGCTGCAGAATATACAGGTGATAGAACATCAGCCAGCCAGTACAAATGCTCATTCCACTCCTCGTTTGTACAGTGTTCGTATTGCTTGAGTTGTGAGCAGCTTGTGTGTAAGCAATGTGTAAGCAGTGGTGATCATGCTGCTCACAATGTGCAGACTATCACTGATGCATCGTCTAGCATTCGCCAGTCTTTGAAAGCCAAGCTGACTAGCACATCGTATGGAAGTGGCAGTGTTTTTGACGAGTCGATCAAAAAGTCTGAAGCGGCACTGAGTGGACTCCGTGATGAGACTGAAGGCTTGTCCTCCCGGATCAACGACGTTTTTGGTGGTCTGAAGAAAGCCATTGAAAACCGTCAACAAGAGCTTCTGGATGAGGTGGATCGACTACAGTTGTCACATCTTCTTCCCCTTGAAGAGCAGAACCGGCAGATTCTTGCTGGTGCCTCGTATAGCAAGAAAGTTCAACATCTGGCAGAGAACTGCAATGAGGATGTGAATTTCTTGAAGATGAGTGGATGGCTGGAGGAAGCAGCGAAGAATGCTATGAGTGCGTCCGAGAGAGATGTGAAGGGGTTTGCTCCAGGAACTCTATTGTTTTCGCCATGCCACGTCGAGGAACTGACTGCGGCCATTGCCAGAACTGGTGTGGTGAGTGACATTGGTATGCTGTCATCGGAGAAGAGTAGCATGACTACTGCAGCCAGTGTTGAGGAGGGAGACGACCTTACCGTGATCATTGAGCCAAGAAATGGCCACGGTGATAGTCTGGCTGTGACGGAGGCACATTTGTCTGCAGTTCACGTTGACGTAACATCTGCGGACAACACCACCGACACCATTCAGCCTGTGCTGCCCACCGTCAGTAGTCCTAATGAAGGCGCTAACATGATTGCACCGTACAAGACGACCGGAAAGAGGGGTTCAGTGCAGATATCAGCCATGATTGGAGGTAACCATGTAGCTGGAAGTCCTGCAATGGTTACCATCGTGGATCCTCTTTGGTTTGATCCCAGCCAATGCCATGCAGATCTTGCACTGTCAAACAACAACCGAACGGTTACTCGTGGAGCTACTTCTAACGGGAACTGGAGGTCAGTATGTGGCGCGAGGAAATGGAGTAGCGGCAAGCACGAGATATCCCTCCGTCTTGATCGCATCACTGCCGGTAAAGTTCACCACGTGTTCTTCCTGTGTAATGCCCAGCCTCCACGACTAGACAGTTGGCAAACGGGAAAGACCACATCGTTTGGATGGTACGGCTACACCACCAGTGGTGGTGGTGGTAGCTGGACAGGCGGTGCACTGGGTCAGCCATGGCAAGCCGGTGACGTCATTCAAATGTCGTTGGATTGTGAAAATCTCACGTTAGTCGGACGTCATGAGCGTACCGGAGCAACCGAGACACTGACCAACGTGACAGGTGAACTCTACCTCTACATCAGCCTGTACAGCAGTGGAGACCAAGTTACTATTTTGTAAATCTTCAATCCTCTCGACTTTCAAGAACACAGTGATGTGCATGCATGCCTGCATGCCGGAACCGATCAAGTTGGTCAGGTCGTAACCAGACCAACCTTTTGGCCACCAACACATGCCTTACTGCTGAGGAGGTTATCTGTGCACGGCATATCTTACACGAAGTATGAAAGGCCTCCGTATAGCCGGACCTATCAAAAACCTTTTTCACAGCGGTCCTCGTGTTTATGTATGTTTGTGTATGCATGTCTTTATATACATGTAAACATGGATAAGAAAGGAGATTAGTCATGTATTGCTGTTCCTTTTCCATTCTATTGTGCATGTGGAATGCCGGCATCTTTTATTTTTATAAAGCACTCAGCCTGGAGTCTGCAACACGGTTATCAGTTCTCAAAATTTGTAACATTTCCAGCAATTCCATTGTGTAATGTGTCGCACTGTCCCTGTAAGCAGGAGTATTTCATGTATTTTCCTTTTTTTCTTTCCTACTCTGTTTGTTTCTGTGTCTATTTCTGCTGCAGTTGGCTCCAAAGGGAGTCATTTTCTATGTATGATAATCAATGAGCTATTGCAGTCATTTTCTATGTATGATAATCAATGAGCTATTGCAGTCATTTTCTATGTATGATAATCAATGAGCTATTGCAGTCATTTTCTATGTATGATAATCAATGAGCTATTGCAGTCATTTTCTATGTATGATAATCAATGAGCTATTGCAGTCATTTTCTATGTATGATAATCAATGAGCTATTGCAGTCATTTTCTATGTATGATAATCAATGAGCTATTGCAGTCATTTTCTATGTATGATAATCAGTGAGCTATTGCAGTCATTTTCTATGTATGATAATCAATGAGCTATACATTGTCACTGACTACTGTTGCTTTCACCACTGTGACTCTATACACTGCGTATAGGGGGGTTTCCCCTACTAGTGTGCGTGCTGACTGTTGCTTTCACTATTGTGTATGGGGGTTTCCCCTACTAGTGTGCGTGCTGACTGTTGCTTTCACTATTGTGTATAGGGGGGTTTCCCCTACTAGTGTGTGTGCACTGACAGTTGCTTTCACCACTATTGTGGGTTTGGTGCTTTTTCCTTACTGGGTGTGTGCACTGACCTGATGACAAACTGGAATTGAGACAACTTCACGAGATGATGAAAAGAAAGAACGAAACGGTCTGGCACGTTGATTGTGTAACTTAATTAAACCAACCTCCCTCCATGGACTGAATGGTGTAGGAGTCACCAAGCAACCCATACACCCCAAAGGGGTATAATGGATATACTGAGCGAGAAACTAGCGGAGGGAAGGAATCCGTAAAGTGATAATGCACACATGTTTTCTTCGCCAGTATATGGCACGAGGAATTGGATTACAGTAGAGTGCCGGCTGTCCGCACCCCTCGCGGCACGGGCTGTATGCACGGGCTGTATCCAGGGGATCGTTCAGATGAGAAGATTGTTCGGATAAGGGATCAGTCACACATCTATCTAAAACATGCATATTCCTGCAAGTTCAGTTCATCATTTTTCATTCTCGGAGGCAGTGCAACAGGAACTAGGCGCACTCCAGCTCCTCAAAGTGACACTGTCTTTATACATTTTGACTCCAACCGGTTATAATAAAGTCATCTTGTACATCGCTGGAATGGTGCTCCGATTGGGCGAAATCAGCAAAAACCTCACTGAAAAACCTGCAAATGATTTTTTCGCCAGCCCGGCAAGGCGATCCGGATAAAATCGATCATCCGGATAATCGACGTTCTACTGTAGGGCAAATATGAGATCATATTGATTGTATCACTTCTGATAAAGTTCTTCATCAGAACATGTTGTGTACTTAAGCTCAAATGTGGAAAGACCGTATCATGATTTGGATGGTACTGCTATAGGACCATTGGTGGTGACTGGACAGGCAGTGCACTGGGTCAGCCATGGCAGGCTAATGATGTCATTCACATGTCATTGGATTGTGACAATCACACGTTAGTCGGTCGTCATGAGCGTACCGGAGCAACCCAGACGGCACTGACCAACGTCACAGGTGGACTCTACCTCTGCATCAACCTGGCTTGCAGTGGAGACTAGGTTACTATCTGCCGTGAAGCGTTCAGTCAGTCCTCCACACGAACACAGGTATGGACGAGTGTGTGTGTGTGTGTGTGTGTGTGTGTGTGTGTCTGTCTGTCTGTCTGTCTGTCGTGCATGTGCACCCCCCCCCCCCCCCTAAAAACTTAGACCTTGATAAAGCATGGACATAATGGCCATGAATGACATGCATCAGCCATCCTACACCGGCATATGCGGCCGTGCACCCCCCCCCCCCCCTTAAAAGGGGGACCAGCTGCGCCCCTGGTAGGGGAGTAGAGGTGCAAACAAGTATCCCCAGGACATGATGCAACATGGCTTTGGACACTGGGCATAGTCCCCAGGACTGACATGATGCAACATGGCTTTGGACACCGGGCATAGTCCCCAGGACTGACATGATGCAAAAGTCATGGTTTTGGCCACTGGGCATAGTCCTCATCGCCACACTGCACACTGCACACTGCACAGTGATAGTACTAGAAGTGAACTAGACATGCTCTGTGCTGAACCTTGTGATAGATACACTAGACATGCTCTGTGCTGAACCTTGTGATAGATACACTAGGCATGCTCTGTGCTGAATCTTGTGATATATACACTAGACATGCTCTGTGCTGAATCTTGTGATAGATACACTAGACATGCTCTGTGCTGAACCTTGTGATAGATACACTAGACATGCTCTGTGCTGAATCTTGTGATAGACACACTAGACATGCTCTGTGCTGAACCTTGTGATAGATACACTAGACATGCTCTGTGCTGAACCTTGTGATAGATACACTAGACATGCTCTGTGCTGAATCTTGTGATAGATACACTAGACATGCTCTGTGCTGAATCTTGTGATAAATACACTAGACATGCTCTGTGCTGAATCTTGTGATAGATACACTAAACATGCTCTGTGCTGAATCTTGTGATAGATACACTAGACATGCTCTGTGCTGAATCTTGTGATAGATACACTAGACATGCTCTGTGCTGAATCTTGTGATAGATACACTAGACATGCTCTGTGCTGAATCTTGTGATAGATACACTAAACATGCTCTGTGCTGAACCTTGTGATAGATACACTAGACATGCTCTGTGCTGAATCTTGTGATAGATACACTAAACATGCTCTGTGCTGAACCTTGTGATAGATACACTAGACATGCTCTGTGCTGAACCTTGTGATAGATACACTAGACATGCTCTGTGCTGAATCTTGTGATAGATACACTAGACATGCTCTGTGCTGAATCGTGTGATAGATACACTAGACATGCTCTGTGCTGAACCTTGTGATAGATACACTAGACATGCTCTGTGCTGAACCTTGTGATACATACACTAGACATGCTCTGTGCTGAATCGTGTGATAGATACACTAAACATGCTCTGTGCTGAACCTTGTGATAGATACACTAGACATGCTCTGTGCTGAATCTTGTGATAGATACACTAAACATGCTCTGTGCTGAACCTTGTGATAGATACACTAGACATGCTCTGTGCTGAACCTTGTGATAGATACACTAGACATGCTCTGTGCTGAATCTTGTGATAGATACACTAGACATGCTCTGTGCTGAATCGTGTGATAGATACACTAGACATGCTCTGTGCTGAACCTTGTGATAGATACACTAGACATGCTCTGTGCTGAACCTTGTGATACATACACTAGACATGCTCTGTGCTGAATCGTGTGATAGATACACTAGACATGCTCTGTGCTGAACCTTGTGATAGATACACTAGACATGCTCTGTGCTGAACCTTGTGATAGATACACTAGACATGCTCTGTGCTGAACCTTGTGATAGATACACTAGACATGCTCTGTGCTGAACCTTGTGATAGATACACTAGACATGCTCTGTGCTGAACCTTGTGATAGATACACTAGACATGCTCTGTGCTGAACCTTGTGATAGATACACTAGACATGCTCTGTGCTGAATCTTGTGATAGATACACTAGACATGCTCTGTGCTGAATCTTGTGATAGATACACTAGACATGCTCTGTGCTGAACCTTGTGATAGATACACTAAACATGCTCTGTGCTGAACCTTGTGATAGATACACTAGACATGCTCTGTGCTGAATCTTGTGATAGATACACTAAACATGCTCTGTGCTGAACCTTGTGATAGATACACTAGACATGCTCTGTGCTGAACCTTGTGATAGATACACTAGACATGCTCTGTGCTGAATCTTGTGATAGATACACTAGACATGCTCTGTGCTGAATCGTGTGATAGATACACTAGACATGCTCTGTGCTGAACCTTGTGATAGATACACTAGACATGCTCTGTGCTGAACCTTGTGATACATACACTAGACATGCTCTGTGCTGAATCGTGTGATAGATACACTAAACATGCTCTGTGCTGAACCTTGTGATAGATACACTAGACATGCTCTGTGCTGAATCTTGTGATAGATACACTAGACATGCTCTGTGCTGAACCTTGTGATAGATACACTAGACATGCTCTGTGCTGAACCTTGTGATAGATACACTAGACATGCTCTGTGCTGAACCTTGTGATAGATACACTAGACATGCTCTGTGCTGAACCTTGTGATAGATACACTAGACATGCTCTGTGCTGAACCTTGTGATAGATACACTAGACATGCTCTGTGCTGAACCTTGTGATAGATACACTAGACATGCTCTGTGCTGAATCTTGTGATAGATACACTAGACATGCTCTGTGCTGAATCTTGTGATAGATACACTAGACATGCTCTGTGCTGAATCTTGTGATAGATACACTAGACATGCTCTGTGCTGAACCTTGTGATAGATACACTAGACATGCTCTGTGCTGAATCTTGTGATAGATACACTAGACATGCTCTGTGCTGAATCGTGTGATAGATACACTAGACATGCTCTGTGCTGAACCTTGTGATAGATACACTAGACATGCTCTGTGCTGAACCTTGTGATACATACACTAGACATGCTCTGTGCTGAATCGTGTGATAGATACACTAAACATGCTCTGTGCTGAACCTTGTGATAGATACACTAGACATGCTCTGTGCTGAATCTTGTGATAGATACACTAAACATGCTCTGTGCTGAACCTTGTGATAGATACACTAGACATGCTCTGTGCTGAACCTTGTGATAGATACACTAGACATGCTCTGTGCTGAATCTTGTGATAGATACACTAGACATGCTCTGTGCTGAATCGTGTGATAGATACACTAGACATGCTCTGTGCTGAACCTTGTGATAGATACACTAGACATGCTCTGTGCTGAACCTTGTGATACATACACTAGACATGCTCTGTGCTGAATCGTGTGATAGATACACTAGACATGCTCTGTGCTGAACCTTGTGATAGATACACTAGACATGCTCTGTGCTGAACCTTGTGATAGATACACTAGACATGCTCTGTGCTGAATCTTGTGATAGATACACTAGACATGCTCTGTGCTGAATCGTGTGATAGATACACTAGACATGCTCTGTGCTGAATCGTGTGATAGATACACTAGACATGCTCTGTGCTGAATCTTGTGATAGATACACTAGACATGCTCTGTGCTGAACCTTGTGATAGATACACTAGACATGCTCTGTGCTGAACCTTGTGATACATACACTAGACATGCTCTGTGCTGAATCGTGTGATAGATACACTAAACATGCTCTGTGCTGAACCTTGTGATAGATACACTAGACATGCTCTGTGCTGAACCTTGTGATAGATACACTAGACATGCTCTGTGCTGAACCTTGTGATAGATACACTAGACATGCTCTGTGCTGAACCTTGTGATAGATACACTAGACATGCTCTGTGCTGAACCTT